TGTGTACACGAATTTTTTCGTTCGAGTTTTCAGAGTTTAACAGAACCGTGGTATTTTTTTAATAATAATAATATTATTATTTCTTCGGTATCTACTTCATCATCTTCTGGATTCGAATACTAACGCGCACTATACGAGTTGGGTCTAGTAAAACTATCTGCAAAAGGCCCGTCTCCGACAAGGCGTTGCGCAATGTGACCGTTTTCATAGGGTTGAATTCCCGACTTGTAACTGTAACCTTCTTTTAGGCGAGTTAACTGCTATCTGGACTGAGATAGATACTGCCAGCTAGTATACAGTATCTACTGATAGGTCGAGGAAATAGGTGAATTCAAAGCAGCTTTCATGCGATTTCCATGGGGTAGCTCATTAGTTCTGCGAGCGGCATTGTATCGGTCCGCACACCCCTACGGGGCTCATAGTGACAACATTCTAAAAACTGGCAATCTTCAATGGTAGCAGTGGTAGCTACGCGTGTAGCACTTGAGGCGCTCACAGTAGCCAGAGTCACAATCACACTATTTTTACATAACACTGGAAAAAAAGATCTTCCAGTTGATGCTTGCTGTTGACTGTTGTAGGCAAGCTCGTGCATTGGCGAGCTTTGACCGGAAAAATCTATAGATGACTCTCGTTATAGATCGAGTGAATGTCTAATTACCTCTATGAATGTAGGTAGGATATAGTGATGAGACGAGAGGCCTAAAGTAAACAACATTTGCTTTTTGGACTTGTCTGCACCAACAGACAAGACAAGACAAAAATACTGTATATTTATCTGTGTGCGCTTGTGTAGAGGTTTCTATGTGCCTACTCTGGCGTAAACTGGAACAGGCCCAGATAGGCCCATCATATCGCTGAAGCCATTCGACTCCGGGGTAGGTTCTCATAAAGGCTTGTTTGGCAAGAATGTAGCCTCCGTCAACAATTTCCCAACAACAATCCAGGTATCATTATCATCATCATTATTATATAATCCAATTATCTTTACTAGAATGTATTACTATTGCTAACAAGGTTCGAATGACCTTTTTTCGATGAAGATTTCCTTTTCTTTGAAAGTGCTCAGATCTCTCACCATGCATGGCCCCATAGTGAACCCTAACACTTAGACACCAGCGATAGAAGCAAGAAATATTTTTCGTTGTTAATAAAAAATGGCACCGTTAACAAAGTAGTAAGTATTCGCTATGTTTCAACATTCGTTAATAATAACAAGAATGTTTTGCTAATCCTAACCTGATAATTTACAATAAATATATCCACCATATTATGATTAGCAAAATCCGATATTCATCTAAATAGATTTAATTTCGCTACATCTAATTATAAAGTTAGAGCAGACCTGCTATAATTACTAGGCCAGGCGCTTGGCCACAGTTCACGCACTAGCGCCCCAGCTATTTGCTCTCGTCCTTAACAAGTGTTACTCGTAAAATATTTCCCTGTCCTCTGCTTGGCTTGCACTCTTTTGGTAGGCCTATGACGAAGGCCTACTATGAGAGTCGTTAACTCGCTTTGCAAAATATAGCGGTGAATTCTGACGTAAATTGCGTGTAATTTGACTGTTTTCTGCCGTTATCCGTGCTCCATCCAAATTGTTAGTCTGTGCAAAACGTTAGACGATAATCAGACCAAAAGCGTTACACGTGTGTCCAAACATTACCTACATTATGGATACGTATATTCATCACGATAGCAAGGCTTCAATTGTCTTCCTTTTCTTTCTTATTTACGTGACGGGTGATCTTGCGTTAGTAGCGCAATATAAGCTTATCGCAACCGTTGTTATAATACAATTGCCGTTTATACATGACGGATTTGGCGCGATAAAAAAAATGTTCGTTTTGAAGGGCTCACGCTCATGGCGCGTCTTAGGGCTTCCGCAGATCGATGCTCGGACCGGAAGTGGCCGTCTGTCGGTGGGAGGCCCCAGTGGGATCTTCGACCGAGCCCCGACGCTAGATCCTTTCCTCCGAAATCGCTGTAGCGCTTTGACTAGCCAGTCTCATCGCACGGTTGGATCATAAAAGGGATTCCCTCCCATAACGAAATAGAAGAAGTTTGAAGTGAAACATCAAAATAGTCGTGTACCAGTCCAGCTAGGCCAGATTGTTATTAGGAATTTTCAATACTGAAAAACTACAATAACATTAAATATTGTTTTTACTTGTATTATCTTAGTTAACTGGATTAATACTTGTATCATATTAATTAACTTAGTATATTTACAGTTCACGAATCGGCTGCTTAGTGTTGAACCATACTGTCATCTTGAGTAGTTGATCAGTTGGAATAAGTTATCGATGAAAAAGAGTAAAAAACAGACTTCTGCTCATGTATTATATTTGGCATCAATCATTCTCAAAGGTAGCTGAATAAAGGTTAGGTATAATTATTCCTAAGTGACATAAGTTCAATGTAACGAAGTATCGAAGGCACTAGCACTCGCAACTCAAAGCTACGAATTTATGAAAGGAAATTGGCATAACTTGCAAGTAACTAGTATAGACAACTTGTTATTGGTAAAGTTCGGTATAAAACAGAACATTTGAGAGGCCGATGTGGACGCAAGTGAAGTCGATCCAATTTAGTATGCGACAATCGATATTGGATCTTCTCTGAGCCTGCTGAATAACTCTCATTTGTCTTGTTTCTACCTATCAATAGGGAGGAAAGCAATTTCTGGCCGAATCTTAAGACAGATTTACTTTTAGTGTTCAGTACATTGTTTTTTAACATATAGGTGCATTGAGATCTGTTCCCAAATTTTCCATAGACTATTCCCTTTGTTTATAGCTGTAGGGAGATATGCTTCTGATCGATTCTATATTAAAAAGCTTTTCTAATTTTGAACTAATTGTTTCAAGGCAAAATAGAATTTATCAATCTGGCGAAGCTTTATACATCTTTGACATATCAACAAGTGTCGATATGCTGATACACACCCCTCATTTCGACGATATTTTAAACAATCTACATTAACGGTGATAATACGCTGGCTTGGAAGGCTTATTTCAAGAAGTTTTTTTTTTTATAAACACTTTTGATGTATAGGATATGCTTCTCGCGTCTAGTAGCCTTGTAGCGTTTTAAGGTAGCTCTCGAGGTATCTTGTCAGTAACTTATTTGCCGCAGATGCTCGTTCTACCCAAAAACGTGGGCCAGATCCCGGGAGAAGCCGCATTGCTGCTGAAGTTTGCAGGGCTCTGGGCCTAACGTTTTAACTACCTCTAGAGCACCACGAATTACGCTGCCGTACGGATAATGTCGACCAGGGGATACGATTTTTACTGTTTTCTTTGCTGTCAATAGAGGAACGAATTTCGTGGAACACTTCATGGTCAGAGCTTTCGCAAATACGAAGCTGAGAAAAGCGCTACTACACACATGACAATGTTCAAAGAGAACTTTCGTTCAAGGTTAGTAAATATTGTGACGTAGTCGTTTTCACGATGAGCACCCGCAGGTTTATACGTACATTGAAAGAGAAAAAAGGCTCAACAGTGTTTTTTCAATGTTGGGTCACTTTTTTAATGAGTAGTGCTCAATCTAAGACCGAGCCCATGAATATGCTTTTATAGGCTAGCAAGTAACTGGACATGTAACATTATGGTGCATAGTTAACATATGCTCAGCGTAATTTGCCGCCATCCAAAATACGGCCCGGTGCCAACAATATGGCGGCTCCGTGTCATCAGGCTAAATCTGTTAAACTAAAAAAAGCTGATTAACAATTTGCTACAATTTTTTGATATACGTCGTGTATTCTTTCAATCTTTACTTCACTATATTTATATAAACCCATCCAATTTTTTTTTTATGTATACAATTAAACAAAGCACGTAACCTTGCTTGTTGAGTTAAAAAACGCCAGTTTAATTGTTTTCAATCAGTAAAACCTATAAGTTATAAATAGATAAAAATCGAGATTTTGATTATTTTTCTTTTACTATGAATATATTTTTATTCAATAAAATGGCGATTCAGATCACATTTTATTTACGTACTGACTAATATAATTTGCCTGTTCCAAACAAGTCCATGTCGCTTGTTCTAGTTTGCTCTCGAACTACCACAACGAACCTTTAAAGGAAATCGTAAACGTATTTTTCACGTGCAGCTGTCAGTTATACAGGAGTCGTGTGGAAAACACTCGTGACTATTTATTAATAAAGGAAAATGTCGGGAAAAAAATCACTCCCTGCGCCGTACGCACGGGAATGAAGTATTCGTTAGTTTAGAAAAAAAAAATAGACAACAGATGTCGAGTAAAGGAAGCCGAATGCAAACATTATGGAAACAACCTTACGAGACGACCGATGAAGCTCAGCGCGCTAATGGTTTGGAAGTCAGGTAGTAAAGGACATCTGCTGTGTGCTGATCCCATCGACTCCTTCAATGGAAGACTTACAGCTTTGTTCTTTCAATAAGTGTCTTGCCGATGGATTGCGGGGGCACTAGGATGTCTCACAGCGTATGTTCAAAATAGTTCGTCGCGTGAGAGAATCGTATCAGCCGACCGATAGGTGAAGCGTGTCCGTGAATCGGTTAGGTTTTCGCCTACCCGTTCCAAGATAACGATAGAAAAGAGCTTACGAGTATGATCAGACTAAATATGTTGTAACACGAAAGTAAAGAACTAAGGAAAAGGTTCCTAGCAGTTCCTCGTTTTAGTGTTCGACAGAAGTCTCCTTTGGAACAGGAAATCCTTCAAAGCAGCAGCATCCTGCTATTTTTTATTTTATTTCTACAATGCCCCCTGGCGACAGTCTTGGGTAAAATTTTAAATTGATAACAGGCGCTGGATTTTTTAGATAGGGATTATAAGTAGTAGTTAAAGGTTCAATGGAAGCATAGGCAAAACTGTTCTTTATAGAAAGTGATTATACGTTTTGAATAGAAAAATACTGGCTAAGCCAACGAACTATTGTCGTTATGCGGTTCTTATTTATGCCATATGTATTATTTTGGTGTGTGTTTGTGTATATATTTTTCAGCGCTCTACGAGGTATCAGGGGCCGAAAGGATACATCACACCATTTCGTCGTCAAAGTAAGGTTCTTTGCGAACTTCAAATTCTGATACGAGCTAAACTTTCAAATATTACCAAACATGCGTTCATGTATTTCGTATTTAGCGATTTGAAGCGCGTTCTATTCGCCCATGTTTACTCGGGGAGACTCAATTACGGGTACATATTGAGTCAATGACTCTAAGGTGATATCGATGGAATAGTCTGAAATACTAGGCAGTAAGGAAGATATACGAGCATAAAATGGGTAACAGGAAGCCCATTTGTAGATCTATAAAATATCTTGATTACGTCGTAAATGGTGAAAGTGGGCAGATTTTGAAGAGATACAAAAAAAAAAAAAGGAGGATTCCTGCCCAATCGTAACTCCCGGTACGAGTTGAGAATAAAGTAACTTATATATAAAATAGCATATAATTGTGTACGCAATTTCTCGTATGAAAATATAACTAAGACTGTTACGTTACTTGTTTATATTTTTGTCCACTACTATTACCATTATTACTATTAAATAAGCTATATAAACGTTTTGACGTTTACGACCATTACGGCTGTTCAGTTGGCTGACTCTCAACAATGCGACAAGGTGGACTTTTTTTTTTTTTTTTTTCTATAGAGGGTTTGAGTAAAGCTTTTCACGTAGCAATAGGCACGTCCTGGATGAAGCCTAAAGCGGACGCGAAATTTTAGGTCCGACGGTGAAACTTATTTCCGACATTACTGTACATTAGTTCTCGAATACTTCTCCCCAACCCAGGTCTATATTTAATAGTACGACGAGCTGGTAGATAGGAGTCGCAATGTTATCGGATCGATTTCAAACCGTATCACTGCTTCCTAAATTTAATATGGCAACCCGTATGTTATCATTGTACGACGAGATTTTGTGCCCGATTTACTGCAACGAAACATGTACAAGATGGCCTTATGATATCGCAGCATGTCAGAACTAGCATACATATACACTTTACGTATATTTTGCCTTACTCAATTTTACAAAACATTTGATCTATTTAGCTAGTTAGTTAGTTAGCCCTCTTTATAAATACGCACTACCCAAACCCTTACGTCTTTAAAGCCTTCTCTTTTCAGTTCGACAAGGTACCTCCTTTTAAGTTTTGACTGTTATTATATTTATCATTGTCTGAATGACTATTAATATTTATTTACTCGTTGTCACCACCGGTACTAAAGTCATACATCATTATCAAGTTTTGTGACGGGTTATATATGCCCATGCTATATAACACACAAATTTCATTCTCACTAGGTAAAGTACGACCCTCGGTTTTGTAGAAACTCCTCTATTTAATTTCATGTTGCATCAGAAGAGTAGGGGGTCGGAGGAGTAGCCGTATGGGTTGGTTGCTCCTATGTTTACGTATGAGATAATTCTATTTATTATTCCCTCTAAGGAATCAGTATGTATCCGATTCTGCAAAAGTATTAAATCGTACGTGTTTTAGTTCGTGTCGCATTAATTTACCTGCGAAACGGACACCCATTTGTCTATAGATGCGATACACATGGTTACATGATTTACAAGAGACGTGATCGAAATGGGAACAAGATGTGAGCGTTCCTTGGTGTATATGCAACTGTTGCCTCATAGTACCGATGAAGGCAGGAGGTGTTGAGCCGTGAATATAGGTAGTAGCTAAAAATGAAAAAGATTATTTTAAGGCAAGATAACAAAGAGAGGGGAAAGCTTAAACGTCCCTTCTTCCCGCGATTCCAGAATCAAGTTCTCTTAGACGTGTCTGAGAGAGTTGCAGTTCCGCTACGATCGGCGAGAGGTGTTTGTTAGTGAGTTACTTTTTTACACTATTAATATTCAATCTGTATGTATATTGAAAATCGACCTGAGAATAAATACATATCTATATGGCGACAGTTGCTGAAAGGCTGTCATCGCATACTCAAAAACGTTTGGCAGCGTCTTTGATGAACATCGTAACATAGTAGCGGATAATGGAATTACAACTAAATGCCTTCATCAATAATAAAGTATTCAGTGGGCTTATGCATTGGGGCAAAAACTACGGCAGATCCCCTGTCCGAATGAGCTTGCACAGACTATCTTACTATAACATTGAGCCAAAACGGCGAAGAGGTATGAACAATGGGTTTTAGTGAAGATGTCTGAACCCAATTTGTTCAAGTAGAATGTAGCTTAGTGAAATACTAAGGGGGCTGGGCTTTAAATATTTATTCAAAAGTCCAAAAAAAGATAAATATTGTTCTGTTACTATATTGTTTTTGTGTGTACATCAGTGAAAAAACTGAATGATCATTGAGAAATGTCTTGTGGCTAGTGGTTTAACGAATCAGTTCTTCTTCTTATACCCTATTCTGATTTCAATTAGAACTATTATAGCTAAATGCTTGAAGGCGGCTAAATCAAACGAATAGATGATTTCTGCCCTAAACAGGCATCTACCGCAACAGCACTTACAGGACAGAGACTCGTTACTCAGCCTGTGAGAACTTTGATTGAATACATCGTACCTCAAGCGTGCACCTAGGTAGGAATACAATTTTGTTAAGTGCACAAACACTAGAGCATCAAATACTCTAGTTAGCAGAACAATAGTGGAAAAACAAGGCCAAGACTCCACAGAAAAATATTTCTCTATCAAACCATAAAGTTAAATCTTTGAAATCTCGAACGACTATCTTGGCCAAATCCACCAAGCTCCACGTTGACCGCTCACAGCTTCCTGTCGAATATGGACGTTGTACGTTCAATGGCAAATGAGAACTTTTCAATATCGCAGTCAACAGAACGGTCTAAGATTCTGAATCATCAGAAGAGTAACATTTGGTTTTAGCTGTTTATTATTGAGCGACACTCCTTGATAGGATTATTTTGCTTCCAGGATAAAACTAAAATGAGGTAAATTGTTTAATTGGATCATATTTGCGAATCCGTTTGATGTTCATACAATAATACAAAAAATACTAAAGTGAAAATGGTCACGCCTTACGCTTTTATAGTGCTTAAAACAAATATACGGTATTGCTATACGAGCTGGTTCGAGACTAGATGTAGAACTTCTGCTTCACCCACCATACCTCTCATAGAAGAAGCGACTGACCTCTTAGAAAAGGGTATTGATTAAAAGTCAGGCAGCAAGCATCTGCAATGTAGCTTCACAGAGCACAAACCATCAACAATCCAAAGTTCTTAAGATTATATATAGTACTCACAGCTGGGGTTACAATATAAGCGCAGAGCTTCTGTGTATACCGCAACGTTCATTTTGTATACAGGGCTGAACCCCGAAATTACAACAAGCGGCTATGGGGTGGGGTGGGGTAAATTTTTCTTTATTTCTCGAGTATCCGCTACAGTTAGGCGGGATATCGGCTTGTTTGATAAGACAAGCCGAAGTCCAATTGCATAGTTTGTCCTCGAATCCCAGAACGACGAAATGATACAAAATAATTCTCAATATATCGATAGAACTACCGACATATGTACAGAGGCCAAAAAGTAGTTCCAGCTGACCGAAACCACTTTCGCTCGGAGAATCGGAACGTAACGATAAAAGCTACCAGAAGATTGTTTATATTGGATTTATTGATGAAACTACAAGTACATAATTTCGGAGTGTTGACAGCTATGGCAAAACTGTTCCATATATGAGAATACTTTTCGGTACTGGATTAGTATGGATTCGATCATGTCGGTTTATACAGATAATTGAAGTTATATAATAGTTAATATTTGTTAGATGATGTATAGAAGCCTGCTCCTGTAGGAATCATTCGAATCAGGCCGTTTGTTTCAAATTCTAATGATACACAACTACAAACATACACTAATTCATAAGGGAGGCATACGATCACCGAGACGAGCGTGGATTCAATCCAGAGCAATCCTATGGTTTGAAGTCGTACGAATCGAAATGAATAAATTACCATATTGGGAAAATCATCGGATTTAAACTCAAAGTAGCGTCGCCATTTTTACGTTACCGCACAGTGGCGGCAGAACTAGCAGAATGTTCGCACCTTATGAACCGCTTTGGTTACTTTAGTTACAGCGGAAGGCACGCATGTATCATAAGGATTAACATTCAGCCACCAACATCTTATTTGCTATTTTTACATATAATATTAAGTTTATCATGCCATACATATAAGTATATCATGTGGAAGGTTTAAAGCGAAGCTTTCCAGTTGGATCTTCCGTAAATTCAACTTCGGTTAAGACGAACGGAGGATCCGCTGCCTTTAGTGCACTTCGATAGGTGTGGGATTTAATCCTAGATTAAAAAAGTCGAATGGTCTGGCTACGCTGAATCCGGCTGTATGTGGATTCAAGATATTACTGTTTAATATTATAGATCCATGTACATAGTTAATTAGCCTGCGTGATAGTCGAAGCGGGAGCCGGTCTAATGGCGGCCGAGAGTACATTACACATGTATTTTTCATTTTGAAAGGGACTGGTAGATGCCAATTTGATACCATTTAATTGCCTGTCCGTCTGAAAATTCCGGAACGCATACCTCGAAAAAAATTCCAATTGACTGATCTGAAAATTCCGGAACGCATACCTCGAAAAAAAATGCCAATTGATTGATCTGAAAATTCCTAAAATTGAACTGCAAATTTAGCTATTTATTGGTAAAATGCTTTCAGCTTTAGGTATTACAACGTAAGCTCAAAGGCCCTTTTCAGAATGTTAAAAAAAAATAAAAATTCATCTGCCTAACTAAGTCGTCTTTTGCGCTCGTTTTTTCGGTTTGTCTTTTCATCTCAGTCTCAAAGAGGCTGTACTCTGCAAGCCCGCGCCGAGTAAGAGCACTGCCCCACTGTTACCGTTCTACTTGTTGGAAGAGCGCCGAACTAATCCTGCTTCGGTAGCCGGAGTCGCTTTTTCTCCGCCCAGCAGCCCGGTAAAACGCTCATCCATTTGTCGCAATCGCATCGCCGACACCAGCTCCAAATCCAGCTAACATAGAGGAGCATCAACCCCAACCGCCTCTGGCAAGGACCGGAACGGTGTCGAGGGCACTAGCTGCCAATACGTGAGTGGCACTATTTCTTCGTTCTTGACGTGCATTGGGAGATTACAGCCCGTGTTTTGTTAGGTACTGCTTAAAGCTTTTCGTCATTATACAACCCGTACATAGGGGACTCCTTTGGCTCTCATCAGCTCGACGTTGACATTAAACTTCTTGCAAAGCAAATCCTGCATCAAACGACGTTGCACCCATTGCGTGCTTTATCTAGTCGCTATCTCGAAGCGTACGGTAGCAATGCCCTTAGTGTTTTGTCGATGGGTCGGTTTTGGATTTGTTTCCTCACAAAGAGAAGAATCCAAATCCTACAAAGACTTAATGCATCGATACGGAGCGTTGTGACATTTTAAAGGCGTCATATCACTAAATAATTGTCCACGATAAAGGTCAGCTATATACCAAGTACCAAGTATCAATGCGCAATACGTCGACTTGTTTTCAATTAACCATTGAATCTCTCAGTCAGAACTCTACACACTGTACGCAACTGACCTTATTAACTATAAAGACAACTGTTATCTTCTTAATAACAGTCAATACGGTGTTATTTATAATAATTACGCCTAGAGGCCTTAACTTTGTACAAGGATCCGATACGATGCCTTTCTGCACAGGCGTTCGTATTTAATGGGTGACAGGCAGGTAATGACCTGTTTAGGCTCTCGTCTCTTGTTGCCCTTTGCTTCGCAGACTGCCATTCTTGTAACTCATTAATCCCCTCTGTTTCGAATTCTACGTCCGGCACCGTCCTTAGGCACTCCATCAGACGGCTCACTCGCAGCACGAAACGAAATCTGTCTATGCGGGGGTTCGAACATAGACCACAACTTGCCCCTAAAATTGTGAGGCAAATACGTTACCACCAAGCTATGACGGGGGCCTGTTGTATTTAACAAACTACAACTATTCCGAACTTTTTCACAGCCTGCAACATTTTAGAACCTTCGAACTGACTTGTAAAATTTGTTGACGTTTGTAGATTAGTTCTTTTTACAGAGAGGAAGAGACAGGCAGAATGGATGCAGTCAAGAGTCTTGGTTAAGGAGGTATAGACAAATGTACTTATGTTCTCAATGCGACGCCCAAAGCTAATTTCCCATATCGTCCGTGTGGGTGTCTGTGTGTGGCACTCATGTTCTTTGCGCAAAAGAAGACCCGTTAAACTTATTTGCCTTAAGCTGACCGTGTGACCTCATTAAGGTAGGCACGCGAGAAGATTCACTGAAACAGGCAAAAGTATTTCTTCAAAACGTTCTACGTTTCAATAGTTGACGACTCTGAGTCCCCTAACTAATAGAACACAGCGCGTCTCATTAATCGACATTACGGCATTTAAGTAGGGATCACCATCCTCGTCGGGTGGATTCATTTCGAGTTTATTTTTTAAATCGAACGGATCATCTACGTTATTTTGTAATAGTCAATAGTTGTTCTTGAATGAAATAGGAAAGATCCTATATGTACCCACGAGTTGTTTTTATTCAATAGACGATACCGATTTCGATTTTCTGCCCATCAAGTTTCTTGTAATTATTAGGTATTTCTTTGTTCGTATCTTGCTTCTGTAGAATCATATTCTTGCTGGCAGTTTTTACTGTAATATCTTTCTGGCATACAAAACGAAGCAACATAAACAACCATCGACATTAAGTATGCTTATCGTTTACCGCTATACTTAGCTTTTTCGTACAATATTTACTTGTTTTTGTTACAGGAAGTTGGCACGAAAATTCAGCCGTCGCTATCGACTAAGCCATGATCAGAGGCATCTCTAAAGATAAGGTACGTTACACTCTCTATAAATACGAAATATTGCCAGTTATTAAAAGTAAGCGTAGATCTATAAGTTAATTGAGTAATTTATTTACGATCTCAAAATACTTATTCAACAAAAGTAACATTTTTCTAAATTACGAAAGAGCCTCTAAATAGAGCTAAATGTACCTATTGAATAATAACATTGGACACAAATCAGCTAATAGCTTATTAATAACCAGCTTTAAGCTTACCAATACACGTAAACGCTGACGATTTGCTTCTTTATTTAATAACGAGGCTTTCGTTTGGCCAGCTCATAAACACTGAACAACGTGAGGCGAGATACAATGTCCGATCTGCATCTTAAGCCGTTCTCAACGTTATGCTGCCTATCTAGAATAGGTGCTGAGGACAGATGGTGTCAAAAGGGGTAGTGAGCATCTCGTTTCCTCAAAACCGTCCTAATCTTCAACCTTGTCAGCCTATGCCAAACGAAAAAGATTTGGTAAACTAGGTAGCTTGTCTAAAGACACTTCACGGAGTCTCACCAAAAATCTACGTGACTTAACTCCCTGATACGCCTGAATGACCGGATGAAAAAGCCACCCTACATCCCAGCGGGGTATAACGTTTGTCTACCCAAGCTGAACAAGCTAAAGCGTCCTGCTTTGGCCTATCGTTGTTTTGAAGACTCACGAATAGATCTATGCCCAACAAGGTCGCAGCCGTCTGAAAAACGCACTTCACTCGAGCCTTGTGTCAACAAAAAGGCAGAGAGAAAAGGTCACACGTCCCTAGAGAATGATACCTCTGGTAACATTGAATCTGATCAAAATGACTATGAGGAATCGTTTAAATATACGTGGAAAAAAGTTATTGACTGGCCATAATTGGCTATTTGGTTAAATGCTAGATACTCTTGATACACGCACTTCGATATGAGGTCAGCCTCTGGTGATGTGGTGCTGAAGCTGCTTCATAAATATACCTGGTAGTCCCGCTTAGCTCCGACAGAACATTCCTGCAAAAATATATCATTTTTAGGTTATGGTAGCATTCTTTAAGGTTGCTAAGTATATAGACGATCGAAGTGGGTTCGTTTAGTTCATTCTTCGCCATAAGTTAGAGACAAAGCTACGCAAACTGCATTACTGTTTTAACGGCTTGTAGTGTTTATGAGCCGAGGCTGAATTAACCTTATGAAGTGATGGGTAATCCTCAACGATATATTGTGTAATTCGCGTTCGATGAACGAACTCCAACACCCAAAAATATATAGCATTATTTTGCCGAGGGTAGCACACGCACGAGACACGCGCACAATTGTCAATGAAAGCATTTCATTTCCATAGAAGCTGTCCTATAATGAGAAAGTTTAAGGCCTGGCTTTTATTCTGTCCTGCAGTATTTCCTGGGAATAAACATAATCTGCGAAACCTAGCCGTAAAATCCGACCTAACTAATCAGTAAAGAAAATACACCGGCGTATCGTTTATCACATCAACAGTTCTCTCTGTGTGTCTCTCGAATGACGCTTGAACTTCAGATAATTAAGATTTGTTATAAACAGCTGAAAACTGTGGAAGGATCTAAACCGGCTTTCTTTTAGGTTTAACCTTAAACAATATTCCTTATGATCACGTTAAAAGAGAACTTCATCATATTAGCAGATATTGTTGACGAGGCACGGTTGCGACATATATTTTTTCTATTTGTAAATCTGTGCCTACAAAATACTACTAAAGTAGTTAATTCCGTACTTGTCTGCTAGCTAAAACGCATCTAGTGGCAAGGATATATCACATACTTGTGAAGGAAACACAGCCTTGTCCAATAGGGTTTAAAGCATCTATGATTAAATACGATTATTATGACGATAAGCTGCCTGCAAATGAACGCGAGGCTCCTGCAATATATTAGGCCTATATGAATATTCCTAGTACTATGTGATGCCTGCTACCATGGCAAGCCCCTGCTCGATGGATAGCCCTCTCCTCAGCACAGTCGCATCGCGAAAATCACTGCCCTATAATCCAGACGCGCGGACGGACCTTAGACAGACCATCCATGACTACTCCCCATAACTAAGCTTATCCCTAATGAGCTCAAGCAAATAACATCGTCAGCGGAAAGGATGGGTATGAAACATATATCCTCACTCTATACTGTACATAGTGTTTATGTCTGACAGCAGTTGGCGTTGGCTTTTTACAGCACGGGTTTTAGGTGTATTAGAGACGAACGAAATCGCGCCGCTGCGTTTCCAGGCAAGGCTAACCGTTTGTATACTGACACACAGTGACAAATTTCAATATTATCTAGCCCCCTGTAGTGTATGATCTATACAATTATAGACAACTAGGATTATAGAAAATGTAACGGACATATTTCACTGGGAAACAGTAAAGGGGTTCTGAGAACTTTAAACGGATCCTAGTAATACGAACTCTTCGAAAACTTACTCTGCATGCATACTGTTTCCGAGATTATGGAACTATTACATGTTTACTTATTCGACGCTCTAATTGCCCCAAGTTGAGTCGACCATATGTATTTATCAGAACTATCTTATTTACCTTGTAGGCAAAGACTAAGATCCAGCATCTGTTTAGTGTCGAAGCAAAACACTGCTCGTAAGATATCTTAATTTCCCTGCTTTGATCTTATATTCCCTCAAGGAAATCTACTTTAGCCCCCTCGAACTTGTAAATTAATGTCTACATCCTAGCAATACGGCCCTGCACAGTTATAGAGCAAGCTTCGTGTCAACTATACGCGCACTTCGTAGGTTTACTTACACAGCCGTCAATCATGTGCAAGACGTACAGGGCCAGATCGCAACGATTAAAACAACGATATAGACGATTATACAAGCCCCTTCAAAACTGCCGTCGTTTCAAAGCTGTTACAACATCGAACGTCATGTAGATATTCCCATAAAAAATATTGCCCCACACGACAGGTGGATTTTACGAAAAACCTAATGACAACTTTCATTTTCATTTTGTTATACTGCAAACGTGTTATTAGGATGTTTTGGGCGGTTATTTGAGCGCTACAACAAAGTTAGAGTTATTATAACCATATTTACTCACTGGCCTAATATGCGTAACCGACGACGACGTTTCCACACATGTTATATCAACATTTTTCTCCCGATGCTTCGGTCAAAAGGCAAACTGTGACCGCCCGAATGAGGTAAATGAATTGGTTCAAGCGGTCATAACGGAGTGAATCGTTACCGTATGTATGGTCGCAACGTAAATTATAAATAGGACAAGGCAGCAATGCTAAACATATACTCCAATCGAATTGGCGGTAGATATTATTTCGATTTAGTGTAGGATACGCCTTTGTGTTTGGCCACTTATACTTGTTACCTAGTGAAAACGTCCTGCAATGTACCTAAATACGTACAACCTATGATTGCGAAAGCCTAATGGAGTACGACTCTACTCCCAGGTCCAGCACGATGATCACAAATGGAACAGTGGTAATCCGTAGTGTTTTATCTTTGATTAGCCGAAAGCCCTCTATCTGGCAGTGTCTTGAAAGTCTGTTATGATTGCCGATCGTTACCTGCAGTCAATTATGAGGCCTTTAATTATTATGAGCGCGTAAGTTTAGTTTGTTTGTTCCCTTAGTAACAATTCTTCTCAAAGCTACATACATATATATATATATATATATATATATAATAGTATTTATAAACAGCATAAGCACAAATACTGTGTGAGTAGTAAATTTGAAATGGACTTGTACCATATATTTGCTAAAGGTGAATGTAGATGCTGCTTAATAAATTATTTAATCGCAAGTTGGCTACAGCAGAACGTCGCGGACCCCTCTTTTTGACTGATGTTGAACATGAGTAGCACTATTGTATTACTTTATACATAAAAGGGAGATTCATTTCAGGCGCTGGAAGGCAACTTCAAAGAACAACGGGGTACGCTGGCTTGTCTCGGTGCGATTGGCCTGGATTTAGCCCCTTAGGTATTGCTCATGCTGTCCAACGTAAGCCTATTGTTCTTAAGGATTAGCTTAAGGATTCATTGATATATGCCTATTGTTAATAAGACGGTCAATATGGAGATGCTGGAAAAAAGCTTTTATATTTATTCACTGTTCACTCAGCGGTGAAATTGACTTTACTGCTAAATTTCTACTTAATCTGTTATACATATAATGGCTTGTTCTGAGTGCCATCGTACCTTTATCTAGCGCACATTAGCAGAAACTTCATGGCTTAAGCAGCTGTATATAGCGATCTATAGAACGAAAGGAGCCGTCAAACGAACTATAATACCAAACAGTACAGGAGCTTCAAATAGCCTATAAAGATCTTTGCGCCATCCAAGCTCTTAGGTAAATTTGGAGTATCAAAGGCTTATGTAGGGTTCGATATCTCGTTTCTTGTATGCTAGCGTATGGAAGTAAGATTACTCTCTACTGATAGTGTCTTTTGTCCCAGTTCAAGCCAATATCTAGGAGCCTTCGATGCAACTCAGTCAGCCTTGCAATTATTGCTTCTTTAACCATAAACAACAGTAATTAACGTCAAAGGCTATTTTCGATGGATGCTAACGATCTTACGGCGACGTTCCATCACTATATTGACGCATTTTTTCTAGCCTTCCAACGGTGCTCGTGAGTTTACATTCCGCTCCGCTTATTGGTGTACCTTAGCTTCCGGCCGTAGGCGCGCCGGCTGAGCTAGGGTAGGGCCTTTGTTTAGAGAATTTATGTGTGAAGAAATCCATTTTTACATCTTTGTACATCTTTTGGCGTTGCCGCTCAGCAAAAGAACTCCGTCGTGCATCCCCCGAGTACCGTGTGCCATTCTGCGGACTATCTCCGCTGCTCCGACGTACACACGAATGGACGCCAGCACCCTCGTTAACAAACATATTCCAATCGCAGCAAAAGACGTCGGTGGAATCGACGCCGACGACGGTGCCATACTAGCGTTTGGGTTGCTTTAACAGAGTCGCATAACTCGCTAGAAAAAAATTCATAACATTGGACGCTAACGATTTACGACGATCGCACGATCCGTGCCGCAATGACTCAGCGAATCTCTTCTGCTGCAAGACAGATGAAATGTTACAATATTTGCTTTCTTGAAACGATTAAAGGTGATGAGAATGCTCAGATGTAGGCGGCAAAACAAATGCAGAAGATGCACGGCGTACATTACCTTATATTTCTAAGTTCACATTTATGCAAGCGACCTAACAATATTTAACGGCTTCCGTTTAATTTTAAAAAAATATGCTTCAATTTTAAGTATAGGAATAAGCAATTTTGTCAAGCCGGCATAATAGGAAAGCTTTAGTTGTCACTAACAGCCTTATAAACTTCGAAGTTACTAGGGCAGTCGTTTTCCAGCCCTTCCCATCCTTGGAGACACCCATCCCTAACCTGTATTGACGTTACACTCCTAGCGGTGCTATTATCTCTAAGCATCTGTATTAAAGTTGAGACGCTGTATTGGAAAGTTTCGGCATCGGCAGAGGTAAAAGCAGACTTGACGAAATAGTAACGTACATTGTGAATAGGACCATCGCTTATACAGGTCGTCCGTAGCTGTATATGAGTAAGTTTAAAAGAAAAATAGCCATTTCTTCAACCTATGTATGTGGCCAAGGCGGTCATCACGTACTTGTGGCTAGTTATGGCCCAGGTATAAGTTGTGTATTCATCGAGCTGGTTAAGTTTAGTAATTATATACTACTTTAATATTCAAACCATTTTTCGAGCTAGTTTTTCATTCATTTGTCATCGCTTTTAGGTGCTTCCGCTGATCGGGCGGTTGGTACGGACTAAGACAGTGCGACCGGATGATACCACTCCGAACGGGACAACTATAGGCTCCACTGCTGGAGCAAACGTGCCCAACCTAAAGGTTAGTTCATTACACGTCACACAAAATCGGCTCTTCATTCTCAAACATCATCACATCTTCTACACGGTGAGCCTCTGGTTATTGAATACTAAGCAATCAATGCCAAACTGCGAACTCAAAGAAACTACAGATATTCATGTGTGCCTTTTACCAAAATGGAATAAGTAATAAACAGCGAAGTATGCTTTATAATATGCTCTGACGCATGGACGGTCAACTTCAATTTGACAGAAACGAATCTTACCTACACTGCATAGACACATGACTGCATTGACCTATCCGAAGATGTTAAGAACATGATTTTGGCAAATTAGGCCGTTCTGGCTAAATGGATGAGCTAATTTCTGTAATTCTGCAGCGTTAGTAAGCTCTTGGCGGGGTAAGTCGATAGGCAAGGAAAAGTTCCTAAAATATGGCTCTGTTGATGGATCTACCGCAATTCCAGACCTATAATCTCTCATACGGCAATGTGGCCTTAGATGATGGAATAAACGTACGTTAAATTATTAAGGCTTTTATGGCCTTTTTTTACAGACTAAATCGTAGTCGCGTTAGTACATCAGGGGAAGAATTGAGCGTCTCACGGGGCTCTAAAGACAGCCTCGTTCCGCCGAACAGGTAATATAGTAGACAACCGAGGCGAGTCCGCTATTCACTTCATGTTTTCGGTATAAGCTTGCCATATCTTTCAGTCGTTTCCCAATAAACATGAGTTTACACGAATCGAACAGAACGCGAGGACAAAACACTGTAGCCATATTTGTTCGGTCTTTGAAGTATACATCTATATTGGGTGGGTTCTCAGAAAGAAAAACCTAGATCTTTCGGTCTAATTCGTTCTCCTGTTTCGGCAAGAGCTGCGCAAGCCTAATTCGTGCCTTATTCTGTCGCATTACCTTATGTGCAGGTCATAACGAAGCGAAGGATGCAAAGTCATGTTGACTATAGTTCTGTTAAAAACATCTTGCGGCACCGTATTCGTCATTACTCATATTGCTGCTATGCGGATGACGTCTGGAAGGCATGGTAAACCTTTTATTGCAGCCTATGCGTTTGCTTGCTAGCAGAACTTATCAAATTGCACGTTTGCACGTGCGATTGCGAAAATGTGCATCGCGTACAGGGGCATTTACTCATCGGACCGGTGGATTCCATTTAACGTGCCAGTGATGTCCTTCGCCGAAGCCAACGACACTAGGTTGATTAATTGCTTTGTCTTGCAATATCTAAATCATTGGCAATATGAATTTCTGTGATAGGGATAGAGTGTTGGCTTGAACCTGATCGTTGCTTCAATAAGTGCTTACTTGATGGAACGGAGCGAATAAAGTAGGGATAACAATTAGCCTATGAAGCAATACCATGCTCTACTATCTGTTTCCTCTTTGAATCCGCCAGCAAGGACAATGAAAAAGGAGCAAAAATTAGATTGTTTAAATTTATGCGCATTTCATGAACGGCATTGGGACAGAGAACTTAGTCGTCTATATTTTTGGAGACCTGAAAAATATTCCGACCGGAAGAAATAACCTGCTAGGGGCAAGCGGTAGCCTCAATGCGCCATTTCATAGATTTGCCATGCTCATGTAATTAGTACATGGCCATACTAAGTCCACATTTCAGCAGGATACAATAGCTTTTTTGAGCAAACTCAAATAAACAGGACGAATTCAGATCCATCTATGAACGAGGTTACTGTCGATTTCGTTGAGCATTTAAGGTAGTTACTGTGGGGTAGTGGAAACAAGTTTCCTCCACTGCCTACATTCACAGGGCCAGGTGCAAAAGGAAGAGAAAAGTTTGCCACGTGTTTCACAGTACCAAACCACAGATTTCACCTGAAAATCCATATTTTTTAGCGTGATATTTTTAACAATCTAGTGTCAAATGTTGTCTACGTCATTTTTTGCCTTGATTAGATTTTCCAAACAAGATGGGATGAAATATACACTCATAGTGGGAACTATACGAACCTAGATTTCGATCAAGGTCTACAATTATTTCATAGAAATTAAGGTGTCACCAGCGTAACCAGAATTGCAATCATCAAGCGTCATGTTCGTTCAGTCAAATACATGGACACTGGTAAGTTAACAGAAGCTAAAACTATCGTACCATGTTTGTTTGTTGTTAGGGCCACTTTCGAAGTAGAGAAGCATTTTAAAGGCTGGATTTTAAAGGGTTTACTACTTCTTCTATCGCTAGAATATTAACGGAAACAGCTTAGTTTATACACGCAAATTACAGGAGTAAACTAAGTAGTTCGAGTAATTTCTAAATGGGGACTCTAATTGTTCTAATTGAATCTTCCGACAGGCAGCTGTAGAGGTAGATAGTTGTTTCTGTAAGGGTAATTTGCCTAGATAAAGGCGCTGGAATGTTAGAAGGCCCTCGGAGCTTTGCGCGACTTTCAAGCCCTTTGCTTTTAAAGTAAAACAATTTTCAATGACTCAACGATGGGCTCCGATCGTCGTTAATGATCATAACATACACTGCACGTGACTTCAACGATTTAGCTATTAATGGTTAGTATTTTTTTTTTTTTTTTAGGATACAGAAATGCCACACCGTCGTTGATTATTTCTGGAACACAACTAATCACAGTTGCTTCTCACTAAGGGTATTCTTGACTCTTCTCAACAATAATTTACTTTGGCGTCATTTAAATATTGACAACCGGGGAATAGCCTGTTTTTTTACCATGGGAATGTTGGCATGCGTCTGTTGCGGGTCACGAATGTATGTGGGTTTAGTATAACTGCTTTGGGTGCGGTAGTTGTCCAGAGTGCGTTTTAAGTAGCGAATTGCCGACCTCTTCGAGCTACTCAAGACAGTTCCTCTTGTTGTCTTATTGCGAAGGTTTTTCTATGTCGAGTTTATCTTGCTCGAGAAATTCGAAAAATATCATACTGTGACCCGAAACCTCAGAGCTTCCCGATTTAGTAGTCTTTCGCGCAGGTCGACGCGCGGAGTAAACCTTTTGCAGAATAGAGTGCCTGTGCTTTCGGGTGTGGAGGCTTTAGTGCTGATAGCGTTGGCCCTGAACCCTCGTAGAGGGATGGTGCCACAGGTGAGCGGATTCCGTTGACTAATGCTAATGGAAAAAATTTTGACAAGTTTTAGCGAAATTGTCCGTTGAAAAATCCGAAATAAATCTGACGACCTAAGTGTAAACAGCACCGCTAGGCTATGCTTTTTAGTATAATGTGTAAATGTAAGAACACACATTATTCGTGAGAAGAGGTTTATTTCTGCCTTTCATCTTCGATGCATCCGTATGAAGATCATAATTGCCAGGACGTTAATGGTAACTATCACAGCTAGTATTAATTGTAAAAAAAATATTGAGCTTGATAGGGATAATCTATCACCAATCCGAAGCAAGGTTTGATAGATTAGAGTTGATGCAAATAGAGTAAAACTCGAATTCCTTGACGTGGACCAATGAAAGGTACCTTCAATTATCAGATTTGGTCGTTCTGTATTAATACAGTCACCCAATAGTAGAACATGTAAAAAAGTTTCCTTCAACTTTTCTACGCATATTTCCCTAGGGTAGTCAGAATGCACTTTTCCTTGATTGAGGAATCTATCAGGTACTGGCGTTGTGATGTAGGACTGACTGTACTTTGTTGATGCCTGACCCTTTCAACAAGCGTTTGAGAAGTTGAATGATAACCTCAGTTATTTGTCTTGCTCTAGACAGAAATAATTCCCGGAAAGGCTGCAGCAACTTAATCATACAAGCGCCTTCACACCCGTAGTAAATACAGTGCAGTGAAAAATTGTAAATCTCAATAACGTTTGATATAGTGGTGGTGTAAATAGAACATAAAACATCATCAGTGGTTATATGAAGCTTAGTCGAACCACCTTCGTTATGATTAGCCATAAGGTTACCCCAACCTGTGTATTATATATGTAACTTCACTATAGTTCCATGTCAAACGAAGAAGCGGGATGGTGAGAACGTGCGTCAGCAGCAAACGCTATTTGCAACCCAGAGATTTTTTTCTATAGACATCTATTCCATTATATCTTATGTCTGTAAGGGTCTTATATTTATAGTTGTATGCGGTCTTCACAACGGGCTTTACTTAAATGTTCAGCAGCACCTACTGCTACTGAACGACGTTACCGTTCCAGACGTCGTAGCCAGGCAGACAGGTAGGCTCATAGTTTACGCCTGTACACTCGATCGTCTGAGCGTCTGATAAACCGTAAGAAAACGTCAGGTTAGAGTTAGGCCGAACGTTGGTGCTAGGCATTCTAGAGAGTCTTCGCAATGTTGCAGAGGCATGGATGCGGTTCGCCGAAGCGGGTTGTGTTCTTTATTATTCGGAATATCTTTCGCTTTAGGTGTCTCTGTTCGTCTGGTGGTACTTCGGGTAGGTCTGACAACTCAGCAACCAATTCAGCCAATAGCAGTGTTGCTATTAGATGTTCCCTTTCCGTAAATTGTATTTTGCAATATGATGGTACTATATAGTAAACCATGACATCTTTCCTTGCGAAGTTGTTATCGATCCATTGTTAAACGTTCAATCAAGGTACAAGAACCGATGTTATCATCATATTCCTACAATCATATTATTACTGTCTAATTTTTCTAGATTTGTCGAGTAAACACATTACTTGAAAACGTTTCTAACATTTTTTTGACCGTAGGCGTTGTCTAACGAGAAACGTAACTCGATGATGAGAAGAAGGTCTCACAGTTTTTAACAACGACTAGCCATTTTTGAAACATAAACGTAAAACGTGATTCGTTCTTTCAGGTGTAGACTATAGATACAGCATTAGATGTTCGAAACAAGCTGATTTCTGCTATTTTCTGCTATGGAACTGCCCAACAAACCGATAGAATGATTCAGACTTAATTGGACCAACGTGATGGAAGCCTATTACGAAACGACAGACTAGATGACTTCTCTAACAGCTTCAGATTAGGAACTCGGCTTCAAAGCAGTTTAAAGATGTTAAAATTTTCTTTAGTATAAAACTGAAAACAAAAGAATAGCGTACTTTGTGTTTCAGATATTGGATTTGTATGGTGCTGCTCAATAGGCACTGGTTCGAATGAGTGCAAGCACATAGTCCTGATACTATACATATAATCGAAAAGACCAATCTTTCTGCTGCAATTTGTTGGGCTTTCGGTAGTTGTGCCTCATCGTTCCGCAATAGACTTCCTTCCTGTTAAAGAAATCACTCACAGTCGAGGCTGTGCTGCCTGTAGATCCGAACAATTGTAATCCAATCGAGCAAAGGCAGGCCTGTAGTGGCAGAACAGAAACATCTTCATCCGAAATCTGTTAGAGTTCTGCTAGTTCTGTCATAAACGTATGCATGTTTTCTCATTTTCGCAAGGCAAGCAAACAATTCGTGATAGAAGTTCGATTGAATTCTGATGATTCTCAAGGTGATTAGGCCGAATTTTCGCACAGCAGAGCCTTCTAATGTATAGTTAGCTATTTTTTGCGGTCGTCCAGGACTCGGCTTTCGGCTTAGCTAGAGCTATCGAATATTTATGCGAAAAGACCTTTATCAGTTAAAACGCATAGTTCGTCTAGAAAATTAGCATAAGCAGAGGCGTCTGTTAATGGCAATCTTTCGTCATTTTAATTCGGTGCTTATATCTTCCAGAGATGCCTGACCACGTGGGACCTTACGTCATTGGGTGAGTTTCCCTCAAACGCTAAGCATTTCTATGGAGCACTTTCTCTAAATTATCTAATAAGACTTTCACAAGTCAATGTCGATTGCTGAAACAAAACGAAATGCAATATGCTATTATTCCAACATGGATGAGATGTGAGAGCTCTGGCCTCAGACAATGTCTAGCTTTTCGGCATCTACGGTTCGTTGTGCCATTGTAGCAGATTTTGGTGGCAGATAATACAACATAAATGCGAATATTTTATCTAGGGAACTTCTCTAAGTAGGGAACAATGTTTTCCCATGAACGCCCCTAGCGAAATTGAACATTGCCACTGAACCGTTTTTAACTTTTCAACTATATCTGTAAATTGTACTTGTTTATTACAGTAACATCGTGCGACTTGAGTGAATTAACACGGGGTGTTTAAAAAGTTGTTCTAGCGATGACCCAAAGGCTGAATGGCTTTGTCGATTATCTCTGTTTTATACCATGTGATCAAGACGAATGCATGTGTGGGGCAACAGGTGGGCATAAAATAGGGACTTTTACACTGATTCCTTGTCGAATCATCATCAAGTAAATTCCAGTAAAAGTAGCGTTTTTTTTTTTTGAAGACAAACAGCGGTTCAGATTTGGCGAATTTTACGTTTCGCGACCATTACCACTACGCTACTGCAGCTGAAAAACGGCCAATTTAACGTCTGTCAGTTGTTAGGCGCAGTAATGGCTATAGCTGTCGTCGACTTGTATCGGCCAATAAGCACTACGCGGATAGAAAAGAAAGTAATTTAACTGGAAAGTCATTGCTTTCTAAGTCGTCTCCTGATAGGTTTTCACACTTCGAAGTGTCCCGGCAAAGGCCGGACAAAGACTTCCATTGTCTTTAGCAAGCTTGCTAAAAGGGTGCACTACTCTAAACGAACAGTATTTTAATACTGGTCTCAAATAGCAACGCTTGGCTAATCAAATGCTTTAGGGCGAAAAAAAAAAGCTGGATAGTAATAGATAAATAAAATGGGTATAAACCCAGTACCCGATACGGTGGACGATACGAACTTAATGTTCGGGTGCTATTGCAGCTAGAGAATACTAGCTGAAGTTCTACGCTACGGTAGAGAATACCGGTCTCCGTAGGCACAAATGTTACATTAATTTCTGTAAGAAAAGGAAAAAAGGGCAATCTCTAATTGCTATCCGTTATTTCATTGTTAAGGGATAGCTATCAAAGCGACACAGCCCTGCCGACAATATAATACATATACGCTGTGGAAAAAATACCTCTGTTCGGTGCTACGTAAAAGATATGCACACCGGTTTACCAATAGGATAAAAATATGATCCGCAGATTTTCGGGTTTATAACGACAACAACAACACATGCTGCATAATGCTGGCACGATATGATGTGCTTGCTCTATGATAACTAAAACCCTGCATAACATAAACAGACAATACATATCGAATGAATTGGATAGCAAGTATGATATAATTTAGACTCGAGGTCTATCTATCTTGGGGTTATCTTCAGGCTATATCGCTATAGAAATTCACACATGGCGCCGGATTAACGACGACTTACCACTCTCGTATAATACGGTTATTGTCATAGGTAAGTTTACGTCTCGTCTGTTAGCGTTGACCTAATCCCTCAGCATAAATCTAACAAGCAAATTAGTATGACGTTCATGGCTGGGAAACTTCGTCTTGAGCAGAAGGTCATTGCGAATCAGAAAATGATAGATAACTAGAGATGAGCTGTCAGTTCGGCTGGAACCTTCGAGCGTGAGCAGATTGATTGATGTGTACCGTATTAATGAGATTTCACAGCAGAACAACTTGCCAAGTAAGAGTTTTAATAATAATACTTAATAAAAAAAATTTTTCCCTGAACCGAAAAGACACGAACCGTGAGGCTACCACAGTGGAGGAACAAACTTAATTTTGTCAGGTGACGTTTAAGATTAGATTACAACAAACCTAATTGTATCTAGAATTGTAGAAATAATAGGATAATTAGTGCGCGTAACGTTTTTTATTAAGGTACAGAACCTTAGTAACGGGTCGTTCTATTTATAGTCAGCTCTAGTTGCATCATACAATTTAGCCAAGGGCTTTGTATCACTCTATATAGGGATACCTTTACTCTTTCGTGATAATTCCAATATCGGAGACTGTTTGCAACAACTGTATACGACTTTGTTGCTGATGCAAAAATGAACACGTATTTAGCACATATACGTACCAATGTGCCACGGTCTACACACAGTAAATGTCTACGTGCTTTGTAGATTTGAGGTTACATCTCACTACCACAGAGCTGAGTGTTTCTCTTTTTCGCTTACCCTAATTCAGTGATATTGGGAAAGCTTAAGAAACAGTGCTTACCTACCGTATAGCGGAAGGAGCTCCATTGAGTTCTCATATTGTATACGATGTTAACCTTACCTGAATAGCGATCATTGGAAGGTGAAGTCTGATGAATCGTAGGCCATTGCAGGCCACTAAACGTGGCAAGTATGACTATGCGCTACCTGCTTACGTCCATATATTTAGGTCAGCTTAGTCTTACCATGTGGGGCCTGTCAGGCTTTTGTCAACCGGAGCAATCGCGGTTATCGAACAGATATGCCCCCGTAATGCTGAAGCATTCAACAGATTATTTTCACGCAAAAAACGTGACTTCAATTGCACTTCGACATGCTGTAACACAGCGAAGATGCGACGTAAAAATGTAATCTAACTTAACGCCGATTTTATGGCCTCGTCCTTATTGATTCTGACACGCGTTGTATACAACATTGCATTAGCTGCCGGTAATGCCGGTGATAATGGACTGCTCAGGTCATCATGGCGTTGCCAACGGCCTATAGGGGTATCCATCAACGTAGATTTACGATGCCTCTGACTATTCAGGTGTACTAGAGGTTCATTTGCATTGGTCAACGACAATATCTGGTTGAAACCAAGCTATCCTAATGTGAACCGTACGCGGTCTCAGAGGAAAAGCCACAATTAGTTTGACCGGTCATTGTAGCTCAAATTGATAACGTAATTTAAAAAAATAGCAATTCATCCCATGTATTCGTCGTAAGAATATGCATGATTTACTCAAGTCTGCTGGGAATGTTGTGTCTCGGGTATGATCTGTGCTCGGCTACTTCTTCCTCATCTTTAACTCCAACATCAGCCGAATCTTCCGAAAAAAACGCTTCTTTGAAAAATAGCTATTTTTTTTTTTTATCACCGGTCTTTACGCTGTTCCCGCTGTTACGCCAGACACTGAACCTCTGACTCCTTATGCATGCAACCCCATTTGGCGTAATGTAAGCATAAGGCACATTTGGAGTATTGAACAACGTTTTGTGGTTGCTGGCCTATTTGCCCACATATCTGAACATTACAGTATTTCATTTCATATATAGGATCATAGACTTTACACATACATAGGTGTTCATTAACAATCAATGATCTGACTTTTTTGCTAAAGGCTTTTAATGGCCATGAATATATAGAAATTCGTATATCGAACGCTTGTGATATTTTTCATCAGTTCAACGATACATGCGGTATACATAAGCTATGATAAAGGCACTTAGGAACTTGACGGATGCATGTCATACTGAAAGAAGGCCCGTGGTCGAGTCCGGCCAGTCTGTGTCGATGGATGTCTGAACGCACCTGTATACTGAGTAAGTTCATTTGCAATAAATACACAGATGAACATTGTTTCTAATTAGAATTTTCTGCTATCCAGTGCACAGGCTACGGGTTTCCACTAGACAACAAGCTAGACGATGAGAAAACGCTAACTACATCGAAGAACAACATCCGATTATCAGAATATATAGTAGGGAAAGTATATAGGAATTAGGTAACCACATGAAACAACCGCTCTTCATTGAGATAGGCGTGCAGATTACATAGAAATCGTCGAAAGACTTTGTTACCCGTGTGCAATGGAGAGGGTTCGCCAGCGCTTCATCGCGTAATATTCACGGCACGACAAGGTAGTAATAAATCCAAAAAAGATCGCGCCATTGTGTCGTATTTTGTGATCTTCCACTAAGTTTACTATCCATAAACCCCTTCAAAATGCCGAGTTGCAGACTGTTTAGGCTAAAACTAGCCCAGTTTGTTTCTAGCCCAAATAGATGCTTGTTTCTGTGTCATCATGTAGAAAACGACGGAAAGCCAGAGGACGAACACGTATTGGATAAATCGACCTTAACAAGCAACGCGCCATGTTCACAGGACGATATGTCAAACCATACCTATAATCGTTGCTAATGATAGATTTAAACATATGTCACAGTGCATAGGAATGAATTATATCACCATTCAGTAGCAATTTCTGGCCGGGTACCGTAATGACTTTCGTGGCCGGAGCACCGTCCGATTTGATAGAGCATGGTCACGCGTTCGGCAGCAAGTATCCCCGCAATGATATTTTCGCTTCAACTTATCTGAGTATAGCTGCTAGAACTATCTATCTAACGATGGTTGTTTCATGTGTTCGATTATCCTGTTTTTTTTTTTACTTCATGATTACGACTGGCACGCTTCCTGTCGTCGGCGGCGGCCTCCTGCCCATTTTCCTGTTGTGTTCATCGCTTTCTTCCGCGCCTTGATTATCGGATCGATGCGAACGCCACTCGATGGGCGTATAGGCGTTGGGTCCTGTTGTGGTACGGGTATGTACCTCGTGACCGGCATGGTAGCTCGGAACCTAGCTGGTCCCGGCGTTATTTTCTCGTTTTGTTTTGCCGCGTTAGCGTCGCTGCTGTCCGGTAAGTAAAGTGTACAATAAAACATAGGTACGAAAAAAATCTCTAACGAAATTTTTAAAACTCATATATTCTTCAGAAATGAATCTGTCGCAGTCAAAAATATGCTCTTCGACGTCCATTTCAAGAGATACTCACGAGTACGTGCATGCATTTATGTGGCTTATTTTATACATATGTATAGGATAAAAAAAAAAAAAACTGGCAAGGTGGAGAACGCTTTGCCGGAATGGTATCTAAATATACGCAGATTTTATGCTTTAATAGATACACATTCATTTGAACCATTCAAAGAACGTGTAAATAAATGCCAAACGTACTTTTTTTTTTTACAGAATTGATTGATTTTGTTCAGTTAACTTAACATTGAGTTCGAAGGTACACTGCGTAACTGCGGTTTATCAATTCCGGTAACGAACCTTATGATAGGAACAACTTAGGTGTAGGGCGCTAGAATGAAAAAGGAAGCAACAGGGGCGCAGGTAGCTGGCAAAACGTTTAGCATTGGCACAATATGCACTACTGCTGCCACCACCGCTGTCAACAATGACATGAGAAACATGGACAGCACCTTAAATAGACATTTCAGCAAGGTCTCCAAATAAATGTTTATTAAGCCGAATATATGTTGCAGTAAAATGCGTCATTTAATACCTGTCTTAAATTTTTACCTAGCCTAAACGCAGGATACAGAAATTTTCTCAGGATGGATCTTCACTATTTGTGTATTTCCAAAAGCAGTTCATTCTATGCAGGACACTGTTGAAAACGTACATAGAATGAATCAAGTAATGCTATATTATAGCGTTTATTGCGATGTGTTAGGCTTGCAAGGCCTGTTCTATGATGAATAATCTTTATTAAATTGACTACCTCGTGTAAAATGTGCATTAATACCCACCGTTGGATACTTAAGAAGAATTTTAATCTTTTCTTCGCGTTAATCGAATCACACAAACGAAACCTTCACAGATTTCTCTTCGCTCCTCTAGAGTGGTTGTTTGCGATGAAGACAATTAGCCTGATGCCTCAACAAACATTTTTATGCTTATTTTCAATTCTGGCGCCGTGCCGTCTGCTTTGATTGAATCAAGGCTAATGGTTGGCTCCAAATGAGATTAGTAGTAATACCGCTATGATAAGGTAATGCACTTTAAATATGTCTTAATCTCATTTACACGTTCGAAAAATAATTAACCAGTTGTTTCAATGACCGGACCATTAGGTTCGCTAGGGTGATCGTTGTTCCGGAAAGTGGTAACCTAAAGCGACCTTGACAATTCATTGTCATTGCTCGAGGTTGGAGAAAACGAGCACAGGTTAGATTGATACGTAACGCAGCATTAAAAATTCGACCTTTAGCGGCTCAGCTAAAGGAGCGATGCTAAAGCATAATTTCGAAAAACTGCTCATTTGAAAATGGTTGTTAGCTACGAAAACAGCTTAAAAAAAATTTCTTAATATGAAAATTATCTAAGTAAAGACAGAATGAAGACATTAATTCTAACTTAGCAGCTTATAATTTATAGAACACAGAAATACACAGACCGATCCTTACAGAAATCAGTTGATACACCGTATTGATTGAAATATGTTCATTTTTTGGTTATTATGAGAATAAAATAGGGAGGTAAAAAAAAAAAGGGATATAGATAGTTACGAATGAGACTTAAAGTGGGATCCCTACATCGCTTGATGTTGTGCACTTAAAATCGGTCCCTACGCAGACTAAAATCAATATAAAGGAGATAGTCAAAATTGTGGGTGGATATCACAGAAGAAGCCCTTATGGACGGTAGATATCTTATGGGTAGTGTATCCAGAGCCTAAAGCCAGGATGCTAATAAATGCGTCATGATCGCGTCGGATTGCGTCATCGCCAAACCATGTTTCGATTCAATCGGCTAGCTACTGTATTATAGTAGTACGCTCGCTATGGGGCAGTGTCGTAGGTAGCGAGCCTTAGTCCTGTGGACCCTGTTGATATAGCAGATGGAAGAGTACAGCGATTCCTTACAGTTAGGCACATAAAATACGACCTATACAGTTTTTTTATTACCAAAAAAATGAAGCTTGCAAGCAACTCATACCTATGCAATTGATATATGCGCAATTCTGTGCTGGTTCCACACGTAAACCCAAACAGAATATTTAAAACGTTCAACGAAACTGTTGACTTTGGACAGCCGTATATGGCCTGCTCACGTTTAGCGGGGTCTAAATATTTATGCCGCATAATAATACTAAACAATATATCGTAACATTTAATAGAAAGCGATGCAATTTCTCGTGTTTCGACCATCCGTACGTTTCATGTCATTTTAACATTCCACGTCCCTTCTACGATATTCCTTCTTATTATGTTTCGGAAGGCAGCTATTACCGATGCCAGAGTCGATCTTCTTTGCTACATTGCCGGAGGGAAAAGAGCTCCCGTGGGGAAAGCGTTGACGAGCATGAAAGAAAAAGACGGCACTATCCGAGTAAACTAAAATTTAAACCGTTCCCAAAAAAAGCATTTCCTTGAGTGCATCACCAGGTGCCGCCTTCGCTAAGCGTCGAAAACCCTCACGCACCCAAGCGTCGCTAACCTTATTAGAAGCGCGACTGCACTAGACCAGTCACGCAGACGTCGTCCCACGCTGACTTTCTAGAAACGATATCCTGCCCCCTCCGACCCGCCCCAACAACGACAAGTAAACAACAATTCTGCGCCCTTCTTGTAGCAGCCGTAATAAACTACAAACGTGTGGCTATTTAAACCGCTAGGGTATGCGTTATAGATTGGTACAGGAAGGGTAGATCTTTTAAGATCACCAGCTCGGAGATAGCTGAACTTGATGTAGCCTTTTGGCACTGTGAGAGGTTTCACTTCGTAACAGTCACGATCAAAGTTATCATTCACCAACAGGCTGAATTTCTAGGCACTTGACATAGGCGGTAATTCGAACGAATGCGTGTTGGATCCTCTCTTTCTCAGTTGATCGGTCACATTTGTCACTAGATTGACATCTATAGTATTTGCTAGTTTCTGAATCCTTCAGATCTGAAATTCTATCTACGGACAATATTCTGTCACGATGCTGGTGTCGACGCATGTCTTATCCCGAAAGGCACAGTTTGTGTCTCAAATCTCTCTCGAATTTCAGCGCCATACTCTGGATAGGCGATGCTTCCAAAAAAAGGCCGGACTTGCAATTAAACAAACTAATTAATGTAATTATATAGAAAATGGAACGAGCTATAACAATTGATGGCGCTGTTAACGCTACGTCGCGCTGGTGAATCACTCTACGGTGTGCACGGACGCCGGAAAATCGCACGTGATACAATAGCATATCGTAGTATAATAGAAAAAATAGTACAGTGCATAGACCATAACTGTGAAAATCATCCAACTCAGCTTTGTTATTCGTGTCGAAATAATAGTGGTAACAATACAAAGGTTGTTGTTTGTAACGAGGGCGAAGCCAGTGTATTGCCCTTCATTTTAATACCGCTTCAGTGCCGAACCGCTCCCTTGTATTGTTTTTATCTACGTTCCTTCCACTTTCGATGAGTACGCTTCAGCCTTCATATTTTTTTCTATCAAAAATCTTAGCGGATCCTAACAGCATCCTTTGTTCCTCACAAATAATCAGCTTTAGTTAGTAACACCGCTCGCAGATAAAACCATTGAATAAAAGAAAAATCAAAAACATTTTTTGCCACACATTTCGATTGCTATGGCCGAAACAGTTCTACAGACCTGGACTGACGGATTAGCATACCATTTGAGCAACCCACCGGGTCCGTTCCTAGCTCAGATCCACGGTGTCGGCTAGACATACAGAAATGTATTTATGAAATCTATTTTTTATTGGACCAGAACGTCGAGTCTATACACGCTTTTAGCAAGTTATCAGTGATACGTGTTTATCGTAGCTGAGATGTTAGGCAAGTGCGATTCCTCGTTCAAGCAGGCCGATGATCAACACTCTGATAGGGCAAACATTGCTTCAGCATAATCGGACGCGGTAAACATAGCCAATACGGCAAGCTTGGCGTTTGCCCACTGAATAGTTAAGACGATATCACCTCGCCTAGGTGATGTGGCCTGCCTGAGATAGTGGTACTTTGAACAATAAAAAAGTTTATAGAAACTAACGAGAACCGCTTGGATAATGCACAAGTTCGACCTGGATTATGTGGACTATAAAAGTAGCCATAGAAGCTTTAATTGTTACTCATTTCTGTGGCGCATATGTACATGCAAAGCTGAGCGATGCCGATGATACACGATGGCTATTTATTAAACTATTAATTAAATATACCCAAAGACAAACAATATTATGCTTCTTTGATACTTAATTTAGCGATGAGTCCAAAAAATACGTTGCCTGACCCGTTATCGCTGCGAAAATCTGCTCGCTCTGAAGCCGTAAAAGGACGACCAATGACTTCGGGTATTATGCAATTTCCTTGATATTTATATTAGAATTGAACATTCGGCTAAGCTCGATAAGCACAACGACTCACCAATAACTCTAAACAGACGCTTTTGCTATACGAACAATCGAAAACAACAAGTAGAATTTTTACCACAAATTATATAGATTAGTAGTGATACCAATAACATTGATACCGAGCAACGAGATAGCCTCGTACTAGCCGCAACGTGTGGAAACACCTTCAATATCGATACCGTCCCCAGTAGGACCACATTGATAGAAGAAAGGAACCCATTCGCTTGCCGCCGCGACGAAAGTTGGCCATATCTCTCGCTTTCGAAAGGTCATTTGAACGACGTTAACAGCTAGGCGTAGATAACAATGACGTTTGATACTGGAAGGCATAGAAAATATGCCTTTAGTAGAAGCTCTTCGCTTGCCCCTTTCGTATGTCAATAGTAGGTTAGACCAATAACATATAGAATAGACATTATACCATCTATACCATATGTTATACCAGAAAACATAGTTGTTTTTTGCCTTGGAACTATGTACATGGCCATTGTACCTTATATCTATAATCTAACGCAACATTACGCAAACGGTAGTTTCATGACCTAAGCCAGACAATAGGAAAAGTTATTTGTAAGTGCAACTCACTATAGCAATTGAAAAACATTTTAAGGCTTAAAAAAATCATCTTTGGGAGGCCAGCTTTTTTTGCTACTTTTTGTAAATCTAATTTTTTTCGCTAGCTGAATCTATCTTAAATAAAGGAAAAACCGTCGGACAAAAGGCCTTTTCGAGGCCAGATAAATGCAAGTCGAATAACTGTCATATACCATCACACATCTCAACTGAGCCGGTAACCAAAAAAAAAGCCACGTAGACGAATAACAGATATGTACCTGTTGAGTCACCGCACGCGACTTCATTCAGAGAACGAAGGCCGTCCAACCATGGCACTTGCGATACATTCCCCTACACAAAACAGCGTACTGATATAACGAGAACGTTTTCGCCTTTGTGATACCAACTTACAATAGTAACTATTAAGTTGAAGGGATCCAGACACGCAACTAAATGTGACCGTAACCGATAACTCACTATACGTACTGAGCTGTGATGAGTGTGGTCTGGTAACAAGAAGAACTACGATATGCTACAAACAGCACGATACGCTAGCGTGAATGTAAACGATTTCCATGGATGGGCAACGATCAGCCAGAAAACTTGGTATGTACGTATGTTTGCAGTTCTTTTGTTTCGTATCCATCTATGGTTAGAAGCACGTACACCTTTTATGCTATGTGGGACATGTTTCAATTACAATCGTCGTTTTCGAACAGTCAGAAATTAAGTTGACGACGCATTAATATCCAGTTCACTAAAATGAATTTTGTCCCCTGAAGAGGCGAATTTTTAAGGCCTAGTGAAACTTGTCTCCAGAAATCCTGATATCTTCATTGGTTTTCCGCGCAAACTTCAAGCCGTAAATGCAGATGTCTTGCCTCTTAGAGCCGATTTGAAGCAGTTGCATTTAGCATTCACGTTGACCGTATTTCGTTGAACACCGATGCCTTTGTAAAAATAACAGACGAACTCAACATGTTCCACCTTCACAATTGCCTCGTTCCACGGATTCGAGTAACGAGGATATGGAGACAGGCATTGAAAGCGTTTCGCTATTAGATCGAAGCGCTTACCTGTAAAGTGCATATGCTAACACAGAAAGCAGAGAACCCGCCCCATTTTGTCAACTAGATTGCAACACTATAGGAATTGACGAGGTTTCGTATTTTTCTCGAGTTTTGTTGCGAAGAGACAGTAGCAATGGAGCAGAAGCATCTCGTATTGAAACACATGAAAACCACGTAGCAAGTAAACTAAAAATTTACGCTCTTAGCAGTCGTGAAAAAGCATGGATCACCGCCGACACTAGCGGGTAACAAGTGTTTCGCTTGTCTCAGCTTGAAGAAAAATTTCAATATGTATGCTAAAAACCTTTAACACAAAAATAGCTTAAGGGTCGGAGGATACGCACCTTCAGTGTTCGGAAAATCACGTTCTGCTCGTTGCCATCATCACATGGCTCATAGACAATTTGAAGTTCTTCAGCGAGTCGATGTGAGCAGATGGGATGGTGGTTATGGGTTATAAGGCCCGACCATCGAAGTAAAATATCGTTGACTCCTATTCTAAAGAACGATGACTGCATCTACCTGGCAACTGTCGTTTTGATTCAACCCTGATAACATCCTCTAAATAAATCGCTATCGCCATGCTTTGTTTGGTCCTTAATCCCGCTTTTCTTGCAAACAAAAGCGCTCTTTACTCGTTCGAAGAATTTACAACCTAAACTTCGGCCTCTGTCATCTTCATTATTGAGACATGGGAGTATAATATTTTTTTTGAGGCTTTATGAAATTTATACTATTATGTCTTTGGCAAGCGGACGGACAATGCTGCCCCAAAGATAGCGGCCATATGCATCATATACAAAATGAATATAACCTATCGCCTTATTTCTAAATACTGCCTACCGATCAACATTGCCTCGCATTTTTTAGCATAAGCATACATCGGTTATTTCTCTATTTTCATAAACCACCTATATTTGCTTGCTGTTGATTAGAGTTCGCCAGACGTCACGGTAGCAACTGATCTTGTATATATTTTTATTTTTGTATTTGTACTCGTATAGAACTCTCGCAATCAGCTAACAAACCTATTCATTTTCAAGGAGGTTTGTGTTTATAGACAACAAATATTTGCTCAGTCCACTAACACTTGCGCATGAGCGTGCATCCTACACCTGTAGAATCTCATCATTAGACCTTTTGCTCCAAAAATGCAATCCATAAAATCTGCCGATGGAAAAAGTCTTCGCATAACCATAGAAACTAGCTAGATAGAAACTAGATTATTTCGAACTGTGACTCTGCTGGAGGGCAATAGCTCTTACCCCCTGGATATGTTTTCTTACTTAATGAACCTGTTCGTCTTATTTAGTTCCACTGCATCGGATACTCCGAATCGAACTATCACCCGTGGGGCAAAGCAGCCCAGCACTAACAAAACATCACAATCAAATCTTAACCTCGTTTATGAATCAACTTGAGTGTCGTTCAAAAAGAAATCTGAAATCTGAAGAACACACAATTGATATTATCAACACGTGAAGTTTTCTGTACTATGCAAACAAATGTCTGATGAATCATGGCAGAGCGGCTCTATTAGCGTGTGAGACGTAAGTGCCTGTGTATACTTCGCTAATGTATACGATAATACGAGGCTTACCTGCGCCTACATATACAAGCACATAAAACACGTACAGGGACGGCACGAACGAGCAGAAAACAAGCAAATAGCTATAGAAAAATACACAAACAGATCCTTTATAGCGAAAAGAAACAGCCAACATGTAGAGACAGCGTTTAAGGCTATATTTTTTTGAATTGTATGTAACCGTAACAGACTATAAAAAGAAATCGATGCGTCCGTTGACAATTGTTATACAGTATTGTATATATGTTATTATATATACGTATGTATGTTATTACTATATTCAAGGTTGGACACGCCAAACACTAATCGTCCATGTAAGAGCTATTATCAAAAAGGAAAGATACAGGAACTTGCTGCTTTCATTTACTTATTTTATTTTACTTTCTCGCCCATATCGATCTACAACCTAGAACATAGAAACAAAAACACATCGTAGCTTCTAGCCGGAAAAACACGTTTTTACGTAGTTTTAATAACTTAGTAACATGAGTTGCTCCGTGTGGTATAAGACGCTCAAGTTTATTATAGAGAAAATACCGACAATTTTGTAATATATAGAACCTTCAGAACGGAATCGTTTGGGTGGTCGAGCCTCAATTGTCACACCTGTGTGGATTAGACTCAGATGATTTGAATAAATAGCGCGAATATGTCCCCATAGAAATTAAAATAAGCCGATAATGATATACTCTGCAATTATAGGGTTATAGATGGGGGTGCACGAAGTTGGAATAGGCCATTTTGAAAAGCAGGATAATTCTACGCACATTAGCTGCTCAGATTCGCAGAGGTTTGAGGTACTTTTATAGTAGCACTTGTGGATTTTTACCTCAACAAATAAAATGGAGTAACAGAATTATTTAAGCCCAGTACATGGTTTGTGTTTTGATGTACAGAGGGAGCAACGATGGCTATGAAGCGCTCGGTACCCATATCTCGCTCGAGTGCAGAAGCGTGTATACGTTCTGTACAACCTAAATCTAACCAAAGGCACAGCCTGAACACCGTTAGGACAAACTAATTCTAATGTTCTTGCTGACCTCCTCCTTCTACGAACAGGCGAACGAAAAAGCGGGTCGTTCGTATATTCCCATACACAGTTTTTACATGTCTACCACCTCAGTTGGAACTGAGCTAAGCGTTGCTCTCCGTTCATCATCCTGTGGATTAGTTTACCACTGGATATTTCCAGAAGGCAAACAGCAGAAATGGAGGATCCCTAAAAAGAAAATCAAGGGTAAAATATCGTCGCTGACAGTGACTAAGCATCCTAATTTTGATACGTACCCCATATTATCTGCGTCACCATTTTGCCGTGGTGCAAGCTTCCGTTTATCGCCGTTGCTGCTAAGAATAGCGTTGCCGTCATTTGGAGCCATTAGTAAAAGACATGCTAATTATAATGATCCTATATACACTTACGTGCATAAACGTTAGCATGCATATGTGTGGTGAGTTTAACGATTTTCACGGGTCTTTTTGCCCATAAGTATAGTTCAATTAGGTAAAACCGTACTGAAACAATTACGTCTGTGGAAAATCTGATTTATACTAAATGATGCAAGAGGTTTTGCCATAGACTCGAATGTAATTTGAGGATAAAGTAACCAATTTTACACAGCGATATAAATAGTTATTTTTCTACAGGAAATTAGGCCTTTTTTTCTAGCTATACTTTTCTACGGTTTTAACAAAGAAATCAACAGACACCGATTCTGCCGATTTCTAGTTCTCAGAACGGTAGGCAGAAGCTTGACCAACGAGCTCTTCGGCAATGCGTTAAACTACCTAGCTCTGAGTTTTACTTATTATACCGTCCTTATTGGATTTCTTCGATACCCATATGCTGTAAGAAAATGTTTGCCTTATGGGCTTATAGCGTGGCTGGCGATTCATCATCAGACTCATCACATGCGTACTATAAGCTTGTTGGAAAAATGCTAGAAAAGCTACATCTGTGGCATTGTAATTGAAGGCAGCGATAAACAATATTTTCAATTTATATGCACTTGTATGTACATGTACATTTGGGCGGTTCTATGCGAAAATACCCACGGTGCGCGTAAGTTCTTATACTGTATGGCTGTGTACTAAGGCGAAATGAAGTGGGACACGGATAACGTGATCTCATATTCACTCAGCATTCCTATCATGGGGTCATGGGCCAACAGGCAAGACTTTTCTGTCGTATTTACATGCACAACGTTTGAAATCTATCGAAGATAGTATAGATCAGAGCAAATAATGCTGTTCCTGTCAGCTAATCTTTGAATACAGACCTATTCGTATTGCATTAAAAAATTTCTATCTTTCAAAGGCACCCCAACAAAGGTCGGTCCCAGCCAGCTGTGTATGTGCGTATTTTTGTGTTTTGTCGATACAGTAGAAAAACAATGGCTACTTACCGCCAAGATGGACATGTAAGTATATTAAACAACTCAGATACACGTACGTAAGCTTATCCTCATATATATATATATATATATATATATATATGTTGGTAGGAATTTACATTCGCATACTCTGAAACACCAGAACTTGTTTGGCGGACATCCTGAAATAAGAAATATAGTGGTCTCACGTAATATTCACAGGAGAAATGGTAGGACCGCTTTTACTTATGTTCCGACATAATAATGGCTGAAGCGAACCGACGGGTCCCAAGATGAGTTGGTGAACAGTACCAACGGCAGTCTTCATTATAGCCCACCCATGGTTGAAGGAAAAAATACACTGGAAAATGGTTCCATAGAGGCAAATAAGAAGAAACAAAACTAACTGAAAACTACAACCAATCTAGCAGAACATGAAACGAGACCCTTTAGAAACTTTACCAAAGTGAATAGCAATGAAAACATTAATTTAGTGAGTATCCTCAAATTTGTAAATCTCTTATTTACTTGAGCAAACAGCATCGTCAATAAAATCTAGGACAAGTTTTTATAAATCTTTGCAACAGCCACAAGATATGACGAATGGTCAGAGTCGACTGTAGGAAGAACCAAGCTAGAACCAATTATTGATCATACTATTGTTAGCATTCCTATTGATCAAAATCACACCGGTCTATAGTTACGCGTCTTTTCTGAGTTTTACGTAGCAAAAAAAGTTTTCTTGGTGGAGTATATTTCGGGAGCACAAAAACCGAAAGTGCAAGTTAATCAGCCCTGTGTTAAATGTGGAACGACAGAAAAAGAGTGCAATTGTACTGGTGTCGTATGGAATGAGTTGTAAAGCAATCTATCTTAGAGCACGTACAATGTACAACATATAATGAGATGCCTTTTTTTTTTTCGGAAGTTTTAGCGGCATGCTAACCGTACAAGAAGTTACTTATAATTCCTTATTTTTTTCGAAATTTTTTAGTTCGCTTAATTTCGTACTTTTCTAATTGCTAGTTTTGATTAATAATATCTGTTAGCGCTGAAATTTGAATCAGCGCGCCTGCATACTTGTTAACCAACAGAGTTGCCATGACAACGCACTCAAAGAGATGCATAAGATAAACGACTTAAATGCTCGGACAGTAATTAATCTTATTATTATTATTATTATATCGTGAATGTTCTTTCTGTTAGAAATATATTTTTACAACTTTAAATCATTCAGTCTTAAAGCTAAGGCCGTAGTTTATTAAATTACCAACAGTTGTTTCCTATGATTATTGGCTATATGCTCACCATCCGTATTCTATGTCCTTTATTGAACCATACCTATAAATTTAGGCCAAGTAAATACACCCTCACCTAACCAACACTATGCACGCAACGTTTTCTAAAAAAAGTCAAATACAACATCTGGCCTATATCATCTATATAAACGTTTATCTATATACACGTTTTGTTCCATTATCTGTGCTAGGAGCGTAGGTGGTAGAGATGTAAGGCCAATAGTAAGCCTACGACCAAGACCTTCTGCCTGCAGAACCAATTAGGATTCAAGTCTTGCTCACATTAAACACGCGGAGCCTTCCGCATTTCTAATTTACCAGTCCTGTTTTTCTTCTTTTTTCCCATGGGGGCTGGCCCGGTGATGAAGTGGTATGACCCAGACAGACTCATAGAGCCATAGCGGGTCGCGCTTTCTCGAAAAACCGACAGGCAGCAGTCCATGGAGCGTACTCTGTTACTTTTGCCACCTTAGCGACGGCGCCTTAATGCAGTGGGCCAGCACGATGGCGGTTTAATGGGTCCTTGGTAGAGTGGTAGCGTGACCTAAACGTGACATGACTTGGCATTGAATATGACAGTTCGCATATCCGTATGCGTGACAGGTACGAGAAAGTCGTCGAGCACAGACATCATGCGCGTTTCTGCTTTGTAAATGCCGTTCTATTGTAAGCACAACAAGATAGATAAATAACTCCTAAACCTCACCAGGTATCTGAGTCCACAGCTAGAAGCATTGGTTGTTTGATAACTCTCTCCGTCTTATCCGGTTTCTTCTCATTTGATGGGACTCGTCGTTTCATTTACGCAGGTGCCGTTCGGTCTTACAGGAACGCCAAGCAATCAGAATGACTGGCCGCTCGAACGCGTTGATTTTTCTATAATTCTGTAAAAATAATATGAGATCCTGCGCGCGAATTATGTTTGTCTTGTTTTGGACGCCACGTATACAGTCAACAAACATGCTATACCCGGCAATAAAAGTTTATGTAGATATGTTCGACGCAATGCTAATGCAGCTTCGTGTATAGAACTCGGAATCTATATTTAAATATCTAGATATTATTACCATTACTTTTGTTACTATGCCGGATGCTCACGCTGTTTTCAATACGTTACGTGTGTTTTAGTGGGCAATCAAGAAAACGCAGTTCTCGTAATGGGAAAAGCTGCAGATAACGTTGGAAAAAGGAGAAGGGTAATAGCAGCGCTCGTCTGCGAGATACAATCATATTGCTCCAGGGAAAATTGCACCGCTCCAAACGTTAGTCGATTGACCGAGCGACGCGCTCGGACGATATTGAAGCGGAAAATGTAAGGACGACACTGCAGCGGAACGGTATTAAACAGATAGATGAGAATAAACTGAATAGGAACAATTTTTATTATTATTGATAGCTCATGATAAGTGTTTACAGGTACAGGAGTGTAATTCCGTGAATGTATCCTCCTGAAACATTCGTACTCGAGGTTGTTTTTAGGTCGTACCACATGGCACTCGGAAAGTTTCTGTCACTTAAGTGATATGGATGATCAGAGTTATTATCATCGAACGATTATCAACGAGTTTGTAACGCGTTGCTAGAGATGTATGAGCTGCTTCGTTATAGGTGTCCAAGACAGCAGCTAAATACAACAACATATATGATTGTGAAGGTGATTCGAGGACTCTAATAATACAGGGAGCTGATCGGGAACAACTTTAATAAGACACCGATAAAAAAAAGACAATTTAATTTATTTAGATAAATATCTCCTTATTAAAAACTTCATATACTTAAGATAGTTATTGATAGCGTCAATAAGGTAGACTCCCTTAATTTTTTTCGCGGCAGGTATTCGCTTCATCCAATTTCTGGCTACTCTCTCGCGTAGACCCTCTAGAGATCAACCGCTCCCCGTAGTGGTCCTTTAATGAAGCGATTACCGTAATAGTTACGTATACGGGCTATTGTCATAAAACCGCTCATTTAGCAAATCTGCTTCAACGATTTGGGCTATAGAAAAGCCTGAAACCATCTCCTAGTAACGAATAAAGTTTACGATTTGGTCAACAAAGAGGAGCGAGTGATGTCTCCAGCCCACATGCCGCATCCGAGAGTAGTTTTGTTTGAATACAGATGCTCTCGTGGACAGCTCGGAGTTCCCTGGTCTGCGATAATCCACAGACGATGGACATACTAAAGAAAAACGTCATTTCATAGATACGGCCAGACGCTAGAGAATGAAACGACTAGTTACAAGGGAGCCCACCTTGTCGATGCTCAGTTAAATAAAATTTTGCATATATCAAGTTTGTAAATACATCAAGTTGTTCTTTATTGGTGTTATTTCAAAGTTGTTTCTATCCAGAATTCCGTACCTGTATTCTGCAGTCCGAATAGACTTCAACTTCTTGAACATTCAAGGACGCGAGGGTAACTTACCTAAAGATATTCCGCAAATTTTCGAGGATCAGAAAGCGACATGTGCGGATAGGTTATAAAGACGTCTGCGCTAGTATCCGGCGAGGTGATTTGAAAAGACAAGACCTCCGAATAAATGAGAATATAAAGCGCATATATGGAAAATGTCCTGTGTCGGCATGATAGTTGAGGTGACCATGCCCACCACATAGTACCCCACGCTCCGTCCTTTTTCCTGTACAAGCCTGTCGTGCACTAACAATGACTAGCAGTACCAGTCTTGTAAGTTGCATTAGATTTCCTGTCCTTAATCCATTTAAAAAAAAAAATAATTTTGAACGTGCTGTAGGCACAGCTAACCGTTATAGAGATGTAGACCCTAAAAAGGTTTCAGTCCTCGAAAAAAGAGATTAATATATGGTAGACTGTTTTTTTTTTTTATATAATGAATAAAGAGTTGCAACTCCATATTAAACAAATTCATTAGGCGTGGTTGTTAGCATCAAGGAGGGCACGAATTACTCCCTGGCAGGTCTTGTTAAGGCATTTGCATTAAAGGAGCTTCGAAGTTAGTCAGTCTTATGTGACGCATCGGTAATTATGTATACCGAAGTAACTTACATATAAGTAGATGTCTGGAGAAGGTAAGCTAGAATGTGATGCTGAGTACGTCTACGAATATAATGTAGGAACTTTGAACTTACGGCCGACCGTCAGTGAAAGGCGAAGCGAAGTAGCCTTATTATTCATTTATATAAAACTACGTAGCATGGACAAAAGTAGGTACACTACGAATGGAATGATCGTTTCTTGGGAGCTCAGATAGATCGACTTTCTAGAGTTCTTTCTGCTAAAATCGACCTAGTTCAATGGGTTCAAAATTTGTAATGATTACACGCTTGGGCTCATGCGGCACTTTTGTGGGCGAATTTAGATAATTTACCCAGCTCCATTATCGATAAAATCTATACCTATTAAGAATATAATTTCCGTTAACTTGAAGGAGAATCACGACTTGATTGCATTGTATATTTTGGTGCGAACTATGCCTCTGTTTAGAACAAACGCTTTCAGCTGTTCAGAACAACCAAAGTGCAAGAAGTTAAGTTAGCATAAAAGACCAATAAGAAACTTCCCCCTCCTTAGCTGCCGTATGAATAGCTATGGTGCAGCACAAAAGCGGTTACATATAATTAAGTTTCCTAGTAGCACACAATTCAAACTGATACTTGCTAAAAATGTCAATTTTTTCAGGCTAGAATTAAAACTGGACGTATGCCCATTCGCTGTGCTGTTTCTTATGGCGTTTTTTGCCTTTCTGTGCTGCCTCGTCTTTTCTGGACGCCCAACTTAGTTATGACGGTGGGCCGAAGGTATCCGAAAGACCTAAAAGAAAGACTTGTCAGGGAAAGATCAAGACATTGAAAAGCGGAAGCCAGAAAGTCGGAACCTGCTTTACTACAACTACGCCTACCACTGCAATTACTGTACGAAAGATCTTAGCGTTTCCATAACTCCCGAGATATTTTGATGCTTTAGCCAGCCTAAATGAAGGAATGCCCCCTTCGGGCTCCTTCGTGGCCGCCCCTACTGCTGAACGAGTTGGGAAATTAGAGTGAATGCGGAATCCGTAAAAGCTATACGCGTTCCAAGTCTGCCACAGTGTAAAAAGGCCTAGAGTAGTGTATTATTGTGAAGTGCATTATGGAAAGGTGAGGGGGACGAGACGTCATTACGATATTATAACGAGATAGGTGGAAAAGATGTTTGCTGACACCTGCCGTTCTAAAATCAATATGGCGTTAGCTACTGCACAATGCAAGAAGGTAAACAAGCTAGTCTCAGAGTGTCTTACATGTTCCGATTCCAAATAGTGTTCCGAATAGTATTAATGCGATAGGGAGCGATCATGTCTGTTGGACAACGGTAGGTGTTTTTTCAAGATATCAAACAATTTGCTCAGTACAGATGCCTATTGTGTGTGTGTATATATGTTTGACAATACTGATGCCGTAAATGTCGTCAAGTGAGGGCCTTCGTCTAGACCAAAAAATTCAGTCCACAGTCATATGCGTCTTGTCGCCAAGTCGTTTTGGCGTACTTATCATACAACCATAGATATATGTATAATTATATGCATGTCGGCTAGATAATTGATAAAATATTCTTCAGGTAAGGACTATTTCGCTCAAATGTTATCTATCATAGTGGCAATAGACGGTATATACATACATAGCTATTGTTTTGAATACGCCAAAATCTCTCAGATTATTTGAACTCGATTAGCGACGTAGAGAAAATTGCTAGGCTACGTTTAATTATGCGGCACGTATTTACTTGAACCGCTAGCCGAAATTTGTAATACGGACACAGCTTAATAAATATAAATACAATAGATAAATAGTTTATAATAAACATAGTGGCCTCATCCTACCTCTAGAACTTTATTGCGGCAATTAAAGCCAATAAACAGAGACCCAATCTGGTCTATCATCAGTTTTCGTTGAAAAGCGACGATTTCGTTTTCACAAAACTTTTTGCGTCCAACACCCCTAGCCTTAACTCTTACGTTCATAAATTCATGCTTCTGCAAGCATTACACAAGTGTCAAGCAAAAGAGAAATATTTAATCTGATGGCCTGTTTTCCTTTGCATTATTTCTTTGAATATACGGTAGGACAGTTATCGAGTCCCCACTTCACACTACTACAACACACACACACACACACACATATACAAAAAAATATATAAATACAATTACTTCATATTATGTTAGAAGGCGATGTTAATTTAGTAATAGCAACCTTGGTGCTATGGAATACAATGGTAACATTAGCCATCATTTGCTACTATACGGCCTGTAGCCATGTCCACTATTGTTTGGGTCGTACCATCGCCTTTGTTCTCAGATCGTCTGCAACAGGATTCTCCGCGACAGTCACGCATGATGAGGATCACTACTATTGCGATGCATGCGTTCGAGTATATAGTATTCTTTCTTTTTTGTAGCAGAGGTTTCGTTTGCACTACGTGTCTATCAGGGGTGAAGTTGTTACGGGGATAACATACGTAACCTCCTATTAATGGTCACATTATTTGTGAATCATATCGTACATCGAAACGATGCATCATGACGCACTATGCGCAGATCAAGCAAAAGCATCGCTTTTACTTCGGTAAGATAGAATGACTGTAGTAGACGAATTCATAGACAACATCTAGAACAGGAAATCGAAGTTATGGAAAGGTTCCGTAATATCGATTCAGTCCGTACTCTAGTTGCTCTTCGACAAAACAATGTTTATTAGTTGCATTAAATTAGTCTGACATGGGCGGAAATATTGTTTTTGTGCCCACGGTAAAATTTTATTCCAACCAAGCAATAGTTTATCAAAGTCTTTCGCGCTGAAAGTTTAGCCAAGGGTATTTGAAAGTAAAGCTGGAGATACTACATATCTGTCCTGATCTAGTCGGGACTGTGTCTGCTTATCAGAGAGGTACGATCGAGGCGATTCGTGCCTTAATACCAATAATTTATTGAGTATAGTCTACGAGCTAAAGAATCTAAGATTGTCTGAGAGTCGATAGACGTTACGAGGAGGGGATCTGCAGTTTTAAGTAAGGCTAGATTTAAGCGGAAGGCCATCGTTACTGTGATTTTCTTCTTGGCCTTTTCAAATTAGAGAAGAATATTTCAGATTTCTTATATGAACGAGTGAACTATTCAACACAAACAACTACATTTAACTAAAGACCAGTGGTTGTCTGGAGATACCCATCCATGTCCAGTATTTTTGACACTCGTCTTATAATGTATATATATATAAATCATCCTTCAGTCTTATGACGATTTCCTTATGTAGCCAAAACGACTACTATATACGATACAAATGTTCCTTTGACCTAGTTTCGTTCATATCCATATAAAACATTCTGCCTATCTGGTACTTGGACGCTAAGTCCAGGACGATCGAATTCACTGACAAGCCTATTCATGTATAGGAGCAAAGTAAGTCAATGAAACAGGATGATATACTTTCGTCTTATGCACTTTTCTACCTCAACAGGTTCCGTTAGGCACCCTATACTCGTAGGTGTGAGGTAGGTATGATATCCACCTTTTTTGTAAGAACTTCATTTTTTGCGTGCTACTACAAAGTCGTCATCATTTCTTGTCAGATGAATAAGGATGTTGCCTATCCATCATGATTATCCAATATATATATATATATATATATATATATATATATATAATAAAAAAATATACAGCTGACAGATTATTATAGTGGTAGACAGAGCAAGGCTTTGCCTTAGAATATGTACACATCGATGTCCTAACGTTTAACTTTAGTTCCCAAAGTTTAGAACCTAAAGTTCCCAGGGTTCAGATAAAGGAGTCGTATTAACATAATTCTCCAATGCTCACAACGGGTTGCGTCAATAGAGCTGAGAAGCTTGGTCTAATTAAATTATAGCGAGCCATAAAAGCTTGTGACTTTGTAAAGATGGTCCTGCCAATGACGGCTCTGATACGCTACGCTTTTGGTTTACATATGTTGTACAGTGGATAGGCAACGTCCTTATTCGTCTGACCATTTCATTAGGGCTCAATAATCTTCGTACTGATAAAAAAGATCTAATGTATTTTTTTACGCAGTAAAACTTACCCAAATACACACTTATATCATATTGAATAATATTTCCATATGGTGAACCACGTGAACAATCTGTGGCGTAAAAGATAAAATTGCCGTCCGTTCGTTAGGAGCGTGAAGGAGCAGGCAAAGGCGAAGCTTGTTCCATAGTCGTATGATTATTAGTTGTAGCAATGGCAATCGGAGTGCCACTGCAACCCATCATTTCTCCCCCAGTTCAGGGTTCTAATATGGTCACTTAGTTACAAATACTTATTATACTCAGTTTTATCTCATGTAAAGACTCTGTTATGTGGCTATTTGATACAAAGCATAGATCAGAAACCGTCAATTTTTACCAATCAGGATTACGTGCGTTTCTAAGCAAATATGTTTGGGGAGTTTCTACGAAACACCGTTGCACCTGAAAGCCCATGTATGTCTTACGGGTTCTAGCAATAGCATACCTGAAAATTCATTCCCCGTGGGAAAATGTTCACTGACAGTATAGCTCAATCAAAGAAAGTCCTCCGGATAAAATCTAATCCTGATACAATAGGGAAGAGATCGACAATTACTTCCATAGTACATTGTACGTCATCCGGAACGACCTGCTGCATTTGACATTTCGAGTGTTTTCCCCAATAATATCAAGTGCGACCAGATCTCGGAAGGTAGCGCTCAGTGGAGCTTCACACCCATGAATGAAGGGTAGGGCATCTCATTTTGTCGGTAAGTGTACTCCTTTGCTATGTTGCAGTGTTAGTAATCGAGTCCCTGCTGCAGTACTCGATAACGTACCTGGCGGCAAATGATATTTGTTTGTCCAATACAAGCTACAATTTTTGGCCTTCATCAGCCGCTATCAAAACGTTCGTTTGTCTTGCTTGCTGAAGACTATCGCACTTTTGAACTTGTGCCAGAAACTGCTCGTTAAAATAGGCGCCAGACGATCTATGATATAATATTGTTTTAAGCTTTCCTACCCTGCGTGGTCTTTGTAGATCAAGCGTCCAGGATGCAAAGATAGCACGAACGGACGTAGGCATGTCTGTAGTAATAATTTATTAGACACGGTGTATAAATCAGTGATTAACTGCCCCTTGGACTGCTAACGCTAATTCTAATCTAGGTTGCAAAATGTTGAAAAAGGACATAAGTTACAGGGACTGCATCGACGCGTTTTCGGTACTCATTACAATGCTTTTTACGAGAACTATTGGTTTGTACCGTAATCGCTTTTATCTAGTTTTACGTAGAGTGCGCTTTTTTTATCCTATCATGATGGGAAGTTTTTTCTAATTATGGCAAGAGGGTGGGGGACGTGCTCGTAAGACGATGATCTTTTTAGCAATGCTTCATAACTGTAATGCCCTGAATTTGAATGGTCGCCCAATGATACAGTGTGAGGACTGTGGACCTTCTGCAATAGTACTCTCAGAATAGTCCTGCGTTTGGCCTGTGGAAAGAAGAAACATTTAGCCAACAAAAAAATTATTTTCCTTAATGAAACCCAATTATTCAATAGAACAATTCTTTACTTCAGCAAAGAAGATTATTAGAACTGACCGTCTGCAGTTTTTTTAGTATTGATCAAATACAGTGTATCTGTTTTATGTTTCTTATGTTACTGCAAGCTCTAGCTAACTATCAGCTAACTATATTCAACTGACATGCATCAGTTGTAAAGTACTTCGTCGATATATACACAAGTTCACACATTAATACTAATACTGGATGATTATCTAAGTTTAAGGTGAAGTTTATCCAGGTCAGTTTTTCTGAAAACATCCTATTCAGTCTCTAAGCTTTGCCTACTTTTAACGCTGTTATCGTCTATCCATAGAAGGGTGCCAGAGTATGTATGGTAGATCACAGGACCGATGTACCCCCCTAACATTTTTTGAAGGAATATGTTATTTTGATTTACGCCAAATTGAAAGCTGGCTTTATAAATAAACCGACGCTGTTATTCCAGCAGCGTCAATCTGTTTCCTCACATAAGGTGGGATTGCCAATCAAACAAATGATAAATGCTATATTTTGGGCACGTACTCCACTCGGGACGGCCCCACTACTTCTTGTAGAGTTACGAGTATAGCCGAACAATGACGCAATACAATTTAACTATATGTAGATCGGAAATATGCCAACGCAGCATTTATAGACTTTAAGGCTGCCATGGACTCCACCCCGAGGAATTCAGCCTTACACAGTCTTACGGCCGGCGTTCCCGGGAGAGTGCTTAACGTTGTAGTAGCGATACTCCATAAAAACAAGCTAGGGTTTCGGAGCTGTTAGCGTTCTCTTAGGCTAGTGTGGTTCAAGATAATAACTTGCGCCCTCTTCTTTCTTCAGTCTTCTTTAAAAATTGTTCCGACAAGATACGTGCACCCATGAATACGGTGAAGCTTTTCCTCTATACAAACGACTGAATTATTTATGGAAGCAGCCACTTCCATGTGCGGCAGGCCTCAGACAGGTTGCACGCCGCAGTCTCGGGATCGGGATTGACCATCAATCTAGCCAAAACCGAAACGATGAAATTTAGGCGAGGTAACAAGGTTGTGGCCTGTAATACGCTACATATTTCTGGCAAACCGCTGACATACGTTAACCGATTCACCTACTCAAGACTGCTAATCTCG